CTCGGTCTGTCTGGTGTAAGGAAGTCGGGAGGAAAAGTCAAATTACCTTCCACGTCGCCGCGTTGCGTCTAAAATATGCAAACATTCGCGTGAACCAGTTGTAGACTTCGTTTAGTGTTAGCTGCTTTTCTGGAGATTCGAGGATTGCCTGGATGAGGGAACAGCGACAGAAACAAACATTTAGCATCTTGCTCCCGTCACAAAGGGATCAATAATTCAGGTTTGTGTGTGTTCTCTTGAGGAAAACAGAAAGGAAACAGGCTGTGGAAAAGTGCTAAGAAGTCTCATGCACAGTCAATAACTGCAGATATGAATATATTGTTCCTTTGTGGGTAAATGAAGGGCAAGTGGAAAACATTTCTCAGGCAGATTACAGGGCAGCAATTATGGCTCAGATTAATTCCTGAGATCCCAGATTACTGCGGCCCGGCGATAATTGACTGGCCGTCTTAAAACAGGTCCATCCCTACTGTTGTGTGAAATGAATTTGGTAATAATCACAGAAATGCTTAATCAAATGCAATTGTCATATATGGCTGTTTTTTCTTGAAATGCTCTCATTTGAAAATGGTTAATCTGCCCCTCTGTCTAAATTGCATTTTAACAAGGAGAGAAATAAATCCAACAAATGTAGTTTTTTTGAATAGCTGTGTTTCTAAGCGGGGTGGAGGATGTTAAGAATACAACACTTTAAAAAGAAAGCACAAGCTCACCTGTCTTATTAGCGAAGCGTACGTGAACGGCGGTCTAACCTCTGCATTCATGTAAAACTCTTTGTTCTGACTGAGATCTGCACACAGGGAAGGAAGCATGGAATACAATGAGCAAGTGTCAACAGGAATGTCCCATCAGTGGATGATAATGCACATATTAGCATGATCACATGTGTCTATGTGTTTTAATCTAGGGCTGCAACTCATCTGCCTATCATTTTCCTGAATAATCATTTGGTCCAGAATAGTGAAAACATCCATCCCAGCCGCCTTAAAGCCCCTGTCACACCGTCCTGAAATTGACACCCGATGGACACACGATAAAGGAAATGTTCAAATTCGGCTCTGATCGTAACAACATCGGTCCATTCGTGAGGGCATCTTAAGCCATCGTATGACCGCCGGTGGAGTTTCTCAGGCTCCGGCAGCAACTTCGTGAGCAGTGGCAACATTTTTGGCATGCCAAAGATGGCTTAAGATGCCCTCACGAATGTCCCGATGTTGCTACGATCATAGCCGAATTTGAACATTTCCTTTATCGTGTGTCCATCTGGTTGTTTTATTGCACAACAAAATCATGTAGACATATTATGTAAATAACCCAATTTGTGTTCTGTGAAACTAAAAAGGATATAATATATTATTTTGAAGGCGAGGAAGTTGTTGTTGCTATGGAAACAACATGACGGAGAAAACTTAAGAAGAACAAAGTCTGAAAATATCAGTACAGTATCATAGTACTTTAACATAATTGCTTTTGCTACTTTCGTTGCAGTTGTATGTCTTAAATGTAATGTAAATGTTGCCTTCGTGTGTGGTTCGGGGCCATCTTCGTGCGAAATTCACATTTCCATATTCGTGTGTCCATCGGGTGTACATTTCGGGACAGTGTGACAGGGGCTTAAAGGTCTTACAAAAGGAAGACATTGTGTGAGGACACGTCTCATCATTTGCTGATTTCAAGGTGGACCTGTGCTGATGACGTCTCTCACATCCTAATTTAATATTTCTATTAACACTCACATTTTTATTATCCATTATTGTGATAATTGTCATCCTTTGGTCTTTAACAAATAATGAAAACAGCAATAAAATGTCCCTCCTAGTGTCTCGAAGTCCACGGTGACTTCTTTATATGTCATGTTTTCATGTTTTGTTGTCGAAAACACAAATATGCTCACTTTAATATGATATGAAATAGAGTAAAGAAGAAAGTATACATTTAAGAGAAGCTAAAAACAGCATTACGTTTAATGTTTTCATACAAATGGACTTGAACTATTAATACATTAGCTAACATTGATGTATGGTTCCAGCTTTAATTTACAGATATCTATATGTGTCAGAATGAGAATCAGAATAGCTTCATTAGTCCCACAGAGGGGACATGTACATTGTTACAGCAGAAACCAGCTTGATGTTACCTAAGAAGCATGCTAATGGTAATAAAACAAGTGTGTGCACTGTACCTGGAGAGATGGGCATGTTGTATTTGTCTGAGTAGCGCCGCCGCATGGGGCCCACGCTGTGGAGGCTGTTGGCGGTGATGACGGAGTGGGTCTGGGACAGCGGCGTGAGGGGGGCCGTGGGGGTGGTGGGAGTCTGGGGCAGGCTGAGGGGGGGCGAGGCTGAGTGGGCCGACTTGGACAGTGTGACGTTGGACACCAAGTTGAGCTGGAAGATGGAAAACAAACGCAGACAGGAGTTAGACCTCTCGTGAGCTCCGACGCCTCATTGGCTGAGCAGATCTCTGTTATCGAAGAGATGATCCCTGAACGTTTGGGAAACAACCCTCCAGCCTCGGCTATTCTCCCCGCTCTGCTCTCTGATTCCCAGCTTCACCTGAACTTCACCTGAACTTTTGAAAGAACATCCATAACATTCATCTGTTTGCAACTTATATATATCAATATTCCAATTACTTGTATATAGACTATTTTGCACAATTTCTATTATATGTTATTTTATTGACTTGCACTATTTATTATCTGTTTGACTGTGTTTCACTGTTGGAGGAGCCTGTGACCTAAGAATGCCATTGTCATAACTACACTGTAGCTATGTACACATGACAGTAAAAGCCTTGAATGTGTCCCTCTTGTCCTGTGTTTGGGGTCCGCGGCTTGGTGACCACCGGTGAAGGTTTGGAGCAGAGAAGACGTAACGGCTGTGAAAAATGATTCTCACCTCACTACCTACCTACCTACCGCTGAGCCGCCCCGCTAATAAGGCAGCCAGAGGAGGAAGCCAATCTGGACTAATTACGAGCTGGGATTGTATTGTGAGGACTGTAATTAGGAGCTGCTTATGGAGGTGATCTGATGATTAACTGCTGTCTCTAAATGACCTCCATCACCGGGCCGTGGAGAAGACGATGGACAGAGAATATTTGGTTTACCCACGGAGGCCTGTGTGTGTTTTGAATAAAGGAGAAGGCGGGACTTAAGTAATAATGGCTACAAGGTAAACTAATTATGTCTCCGTAAGGGTACAGCATGGCTTCCAGCAGCTGCCTCCACACACTGCAGTCAAGTCAAGTGGAAAATTCAAGCCTGACCCCCCGCCCTCCCCCCCCCCCCCCTGCTCCCCTTATTAATTGGCAGGAAAACTAATGACACATATACATATTCCCGCAAAATTGTTCTAATTGCTAATTTGCCGAAGGAGGCCAGCATCCAAATGAAACATGACTTCAGAGTGTGAGGAAGAGGATGCGGAGTGTTGGGAGGACACGACTCATCTCTGACGTCATGTGTTGATTACGAGTCTGATTGGTGCTCATGACGTCTATGACGACCTTATTAATATTCATATTAGCACTCATTAGCAACAGGTATATTTAACATAAGAAATAGCAGATCTCAGGCTGAACGGATGTCAGTTTTTTCCTTATCTTTTATAAATGTAACAATTATTCTCATTAACGATTATTGTGCCAATGATTTTCTAGAATTATATATTAATATTTGAGTGTATAATATAAATATTATATCATTTTAAAAGTAATTATTATAGTACAATTAGTGAAAAATGTCCATCCAAGTTTCTCAAAGATCAGCTTTAAATGTCATGTTTTGCCGAACCTTAAATATATTCAATTTATTCTGATATAAAATCAAAACAATGAACTTGTAACGGCTAGAAACGGCATTTTCTGACAGTTTTGCATTAACAAATCTATACAACTTTTTACGTCACATGAAATACACCTTAATGAACGATGAAGTTGCAACCGCTCCAAATATAATGAGTGAATTGTGTCTTCTCAAATCCCTCTTTAACAGACGTGTGTCCACCTCCTCACGATGTCTATTTACGTTTCGCAGGCTGAACGGCAGCTTTCTGGCCGAGTCTGCCCAAATCATTTGGATTACTGCTGGGACGCACAGACGCTCCATCCTCAGCAACAGTAGCAGGAGACGTGTTATTCTAAATCACGGACTAAATAAATCACACTTGGGCTCGCGTGTTTCTGACACAATGCTATCAATAGAACGGGGCTTTGCGGTGTTGACTTCTCTTCCTGTGGATTAGCGGGCTTTGTTTCATGTTTCATCCATATTCCCTGGCCATAAACACAGAGAGGCTTCAACAATAGGCCAGACAGGCTGGTAATAGCCTCGCCTTTGTTTGCCTCGCCATTTGGGCTCACTCCAGTGCGTGGACAAAATGAGACTTCAGACTGAAATTAATTAAATGGTAATTGGTGATCTAATTATACTGGCTTTGACTCGGCAAGCTGCTAAAGAAAATAAACAAAAAGTCCCTCCTTAATTATGTATGGCGTAAAAGGTCAGATTTCTGACAAGAATGCTTAGTGACACCGAGTGCAGACACCCACCCACCCACACACACACACTCACAGGCAAACACAAACACACACACAGGAACACGCAATGCTAATGTGGCACATTTTGTTTTGATCTTGCCCCGCTTCCCCGTCCACCTCAGAAGACCAAAAATGAATCCCATTCATTTGACGTTGTGCATGCACAGTATCACTTTGTTTGTCTTTAATTATGAGTACATGTAAACCAGCTACTCTGCTATGACAGTTGGCTACATATACACAGCTTTATTAAACGCAGAAACGGCAGGAAAGCAGCAATTACTGGAAGAACACACTTGTTTCTTCAGAGCTGCTTCCTTCAGAGGACATTTTTATTCAAAGCAGGCGCTTCTCTTTTTCTTTGGTGCTCCTGCAATCTCACTAAAACCCCACGGAGGCCCTGACCTGCGAGAGTCCACTGCTCACCCAGACATATTTATCATAGCATTTCAGGGGCAGCTCGCAGCAGCAGGCAAAAGGGGAGTCTATTTATTTTGAATACAAACCCCAGCTTGCCCCGTTGAGAGTGAGAACGCTGGGGGGGGAAGGAGAGGGGAGTGAACTCAAGATGCTATCTGCCGCTCCGGTCCACTTTTCATATACAAATGTCCCCCGTGTCAGAGCCCCTCGTTCTGCACTCTAATCTACAGCATCAGCGTGTGTGACACAGCTTCAACAGGCAGCCTTTTGTCGTCCCCATCCCCTCTCTGACTGTAAAGGACTCCTCGTGTGTGTGTGTGTGTGTGTGTGTGTGTGTGTGTGTGTGTGTGTGTGTGTNAACAGGCAGCCTTTTGTCGTCCCCATCCCCTCTCTGACTGTAAAGGACTCCTCCTGTGTGTGTGTGTGTGTGTGTGTGTGTGTGTGTGTGTGTGTGTGTGTGTGTGTGGTTTGAGATTCACACCCTGCAGTATAATGATCACTGTCATGCAGACTAACTGATGGCGGTGCTGAGGCCCCCTTCTTCTTAAACATGACAAAATAGCGCAGACACTTACATGCCATATGTTAAGCCCCTATAGGATGGGGATTAGTCAGCAGGCTTTATGGCGTGGCGTATATTAAGAGTGATAAGCATGATGTGAGCAATGTGACAAGGAGAGAATAAATGGATCTGCTTGGACGTTTATTCTGAATATGTGGTTCACTTGCAGGGAATGTAGGGGTAACACCAACAGGGCTACACATTACATTATACTGTTGATTCATCTGCAGATTATTTTCTATGTTTCCTAATCAGTTGGTCTATACAATGTCAGTTAAAAACCAAAGATATTGACTTTAACGTGATATTAAACCAATCTAAAGCAAGACATTTCAATACTTGAGGGGCTGGAACAGCATTTTTTCTACTATTTAGCATAAAGTTAACAATTCATTAATTATCAAAACAGTTCATAATTTGTCATTTGTTGTCTGTAAGTTGTTCAATTGACTTATTTAAGTAAAACATTTTATTTTATCATCTCATCCTGCAAGATACATGTTTTTACACTTAGTTCACTCAACCAGCATTTTAGATAAAAGATTATGAGAAAAACAATGACTCATAAAAACACACATTAGGTTAATATTACATATCTTTTAAACAATGCTAATGGTGTTTGCTTTTTTACTGTATATGAGTATTCAATTGTTTTTAGCGGAGTATGCTTTGTAATTGAATTTTTGTTCAAATAAGATAGGTATAATAATATAATAAATGCTCTTGTCATTTGATGCTATCAAGCTGGAAATGTACTTTAATGTTGACAAAGTGCTAAAAAATAAAGAGCATATTTGGTGTATTTATTAGAGATAGCGTGTATTTCCGTCTCCCCTCACTCCGCCTCTCTGAAGCTGTTACAGCAGCTCCAGTTCATCACAGCCTCCAAATTGAATCTCGGATGTCAGCAGATGTGCTCCGAAACAATATTTACTGCCTCCCTCAAGAGAACAGCTGTTTTTATTTAGCAGATAAATAAGAAGATGGAGGAAGGGATTAATGAATACATGTGTGCCAATTAAGACAAACAAAAGGATGGAGGAGGAGGGGGGGGAGACAGATAGAGGAGGAATGACAGGGCTCACCGGCTGTGGGGTGTTTTTGGGCTCCGTGGACTTGACGTGAAGGTGCGTCATCATCGCTTGCAGACGCTCTTTATCTTTCGCTAGCTGTAATGAGGACAGACAACACATTACATTTGTTATATATATAGAAATGTATTTATTAGGATAAACCCCTTGAGATGCACCGTGTCGTTTTCAAGGGGGTCCCGACAGAAAGCAAAGCATGACAAACAACGTACAGTTAAGTAAAAGTAATACATAGAATCATTACACTTTGATAGACAGTAGTGCTAATAGGTCAGTTTCATCAATAACAATGAATTGAACAAAAAGAAGATACACAAATCTATATTAATTACAAATATAAATCCCCTTTAAAAAGACTGGAAGCTCCAAACACACCGTCCTTTACAGTGAGAAACATGGTCCAATTCCAATACTTTTGGAAACCACAATTCAAGGTTACAAAGCATCCGAGGTCTCACTGCCAGGCCCTTTCTACCTGTCTGAAACTGTCTTAGCTGCCAGCTTACATTATGGTGAGGGGCTGCATGCAGAGGAAGTGTGTGTGTCTGATAAAGCTCCATCTCCATCCTTCTGCATGAAACACCACCGGGGCGGAAACACAGCACGGTGGTTGGTAGTAACGTCACAGAGACTCTCACTGTTTACGGTTAACACGCAGAACTCTTTAATACTCATCAACAGTCCATTTTGACTTCATGATGTGCTTTGAATGTGAACATGGCTGCTAAAATGTGGAATACATTAAACGTGATTCTAGCTGTATTTGCTTCGACAAAAGATAATTAATAAAAATACACTTGAATGGGATCTTTGGTTGTCTTTTCCCCCTGTAAATCTACTAAATAAGTGCACTGGTCATTATGCCCCCTACTCTAATGGAATGACTCTTTCCATAAGTGCATTCCTAACACATGCTTTCTTGCAGGAAAAGATAACGGTATTAAAAGCATTGATTATGATGCGCTTTCTGAAATAAAAGAACCTCCCTGCTCCGAACACACACTCAGCTGCCCAGTGGTGTTTTATTGTTGGTGCCAAACAGTTAGAAGTCATAAATAACTTTAAAACCCAGTGAAATTCAAAATGTAATTATCTTCTCTACTTAGCCCCGGGCTCCTTCATATATCTTTTTCCCTGGCTGTCATGCATACATAACACATTTTTAATGACTGGTTACTTGCAAATGTACAAAATTATTTTCTCTCTCTGTTGCTGCCTCGCCTTTTTTTTTTTTTTTTTTT